TAAAACAGAAGCTTTCTACCCAGCTTGGAGCATCGCTAAAGATTTTCTCCGCAGGACCGCCTCTGCCCCTGCCTGCAGGTCCTTCTCCTGCCAGAAGCGGCATTCAAGCCTTTTCTACACCCCTAGGTTGGAGCTAGTCTCCTTCTAAAGGGCATATTTCTCTCTGGCCCCCTTACTGAGCCCCCATCACTCTGTGAAACGTTTATCCTCACAGCATCTCTGCAAGGCAGGAAGCACTGTTATCTCCAGCATCCAGAGGTGGAACTGAGACATGCAGAGATGAAGGCCCAAAACCACATGGGTATTTAGGCCAGGGGCACCGGAACAGGGAGGTCCAGGGGGCCATGGCCCCATCACTTTTTACCGGCCAAAAGGGTGAGCGATGGGGGGGCACGGAGAGGAGCACCTTGGGGGCAGAGTCTCAGAGGAAAGGGGAGGCACAGGGGTGGGGCCTGAGGGGAAGGGGCAGCACAGGGGCAGGGCCTCAGGTGCCAGTGGGCCCCCACCCACTTTTAGGGAGTTCCACTCCAGATTTAGGCCCCCCTAATTTCTGTTGAAGTTAGACACCTAAATACTAGGGCTGTCAATTAATCGCAGTTAACTCACGTGATTAACTCAAAAAAGTTAATCGCACTGTTAAATTTCAATTGGCATTCTCTTGTTTATTAAATATTTTTGGATGTTTTTCTACAGTGTCAAATATATTGATTTCTATTGCAACACAGAATACAAAGTGTACAGTGCTCACCTTATATTATTTTTATTACAAATATTTGCACAGTACAAAGGATAACCAAAAGAATAGTATTTTTCAATTCACCTCAGACAAGTACTGTCCTGCAAGCTCTATCCTGAAAGCGTAACTTACAAATGTAGATTTTTGTTGTTACGTAACTGCACTCAAAAACAAAACAATGCAAAACTTTAGAGCCTACAAGTCCACTCGGTCCTACTTCTTGCTCAGCCAATCGCTAAGACAAACAAGTTTGTTTACCTTTGCAGGAGACCCTGCTGCCTGCTTCTTATTTACAGTGTCACCAGAAAGTGAGAACAGGCATTCGCATGGCACTTTTGTAGCCAGCATTGTAAGGTATTTACTTGCCAGATATGCTAAATATTTGTATGCCCCTTCATGTTTCAGTGATGATGATGTTTGTTAAAAAAATAGTGCGTTAATTACATTTGTGACTGAACTTCTTGGGGAGAATTGTATGTCCCTGCTCTGTTTTACCCACATTCTGCCATAGATTTCATGTTCTAGCAGTCTCGGATGATGACCCAGCACGTGTTTGATTTACGAACATGTCACTGCAGATTTGACAAAATGCAAAGAAGGTACCAGTGTGAGATTTCTAAAGATAGCTACAGTACGCGACCCAAGGTTTAAGAATTTCAAGTGCTGACCAAAATCTGAGAAGGACGAGGCATGGCGCATGCTTTCAGAAGTCTTAAAAGAGCAACAATCCGATGCGGAAACTACAGAACCCGAACTACCAAAAAAGAAAATCAACCTTCTGCTGGTGGCATCTGACTCAGATGATGAAAATGAACATGCATCAGTCCGCTCTGCTTTGGACTGTTATCAAGCAGAACCCGTCATCAGCATGGACGCATGTCCCCTGGAATGGTGGATGAACCACGAAGGGACATATGAATCTTTAGCGCTTCTGGCACATAAATACTTTGAGACGCTGGTTACAACAGTGCCATGCGAATGCCTGTTCTCATTTTCAAGTGACATTGTAAACAAGAAGTGGGCACCATTATCTCCTGCAAATGTAACCAAACTTGTTTGTCTGGACGATTGGCTAAACAAGAAGTAGGACTGAGTGGACTTGTAGGCACTAAAGTTTTACATTGTTTTATTTTTCCATGCAGTTTTTTTTGTATATAATTCGACATTTGTAAGTTCAACTTTCATGATAAAGAGATTGCACTACAGTACTTGTATTAGAAGAATTGGAAAATACCATTTATTTTGTTTTTTTACAGTGCAAATATTTGTATTCAAAAATAAATAGAAAATGAACACTGTACACTTTGTATTCTGTGTTGTAACTGAAATCAATATATTTGAAAATAATCCACAAATATTTAAATAAATGGTATTCTATTATTGTTTAACAATGCAATTAATGGTGCAATTACTTTTTTTAATTTAAAAAATTAATCACGATTAATCGCGCAATCACTTGACAGCCCTATTAAATACCTTTGAGGATCTGGCCTAAGTGATTTGCCCAAGGTCACCCACAGCCCCTGTGGTGCAGCAAGGAACTGAACCCGGTTGCAGGCTCCTGGCCTGTCTCCCCCAGCCCAAGAAGGGCTGACCCCACATGCCCAGACTCTTCTCAGCCCCTTTCTGAGGGGCACAGTTTGAGCTTCAGACACCCAACCTATCAGGTAACAACTCCCACACTGTACGGATGTAGCTCTTCCTCCGGCCCTCGGCACAAAAACCCACCTGCTTCCCGCCGGAGACGCACGCTGGCTTTTAGAGTCAGTTGATCAAGCCCAGCGGGAGGTGGCTGATCAGTCGCAGGTGGGACTGCGCAGTGTATTGGAGTGGGCTTCCCAGCCCGGATCCGCAGATGGTGGGGCTCACGCTAAAACCTCTAGTCCTCTAAAATCAGCTCTGCTTTGAAGTTGTGCCTCAGTCTGGTGGCTGGGCTCTAGGACCCTGCGAGGTGGGAAGGCCCCAGAGCTTGGGCTGCAGCCTGAACTGAGCTCCGGCTGAGTCAGCTGGCAGGGGCCAGCAGCGGGTGTCTAATTGCAGTGTAGACGGCGGGTGTCTAATTGCAGTGTAGACATAGACTTAGCCAACTCACACCGGGGAGTCTGCGGCAGAGCAGGGAACTGAACCTACTCCTTCCCATTCCTTTTGAGGTGGCTTTGGCCGGGGCCCCAAGAGCCGTAGCAAACCCCAGCATGCTGGCTGGGCTAATACAGCAGTGAGAACTGGGGCCCTGCAGCCGGGAGAGTCTGGCTGCCTGACTCAGACGAGTTACTCAGGGTTTGCATCAGTCACATTCCATGAGCCGACCGGGATCGTGACATCCAGGGGCCGCGACGCAGCAGCTGGACGTGCCCGGGAAAGGACTTCGGAAACGAGTGGGCTCAAGAGGATGCTTGAGCAAACCAAATGAAATTGACGGCTGGGACGCCCAGATGCATTAAACCCTCCGTCATCCAGAACTCCCTCTCATCGGAGTTAGGTACTGGAGTCCGCTGGGCCCAGATCCACAAAGGTATTTAGGTTCCTAACTTCCACTGAAATCAGGAGCCTAAACATCTCTGTGGATCGGCACGCTGGTAAATGTGCACTAGATCCTTTATTCAAGCAAATCTTCAGGCATTAAATAGCTCTCAGCAGCTTGTCGTCTGCTTCTATGACTCTATCCACACAAGGGAAACTTTTCCCACCGTTGCAGTGCGATTTATATCAGGAATCGCACGAATTAGGGCCCTACCAATTTCACGGCGGTGAAAAATGTGTCACAGACCACAAAATAAGCCCTTCCCCGTGAAATCCAGTCTCCCCCTTGCCGCTGGGACCGCCCCTGCCGGGAGCACTGCTAGTCCTGACCAGGCTGGGAAGGGATAGGACTTGTCCTTCCCCTGTACAGCAGGCTCTCGGTGGTGAGATCAGACCCACCTCCAGAGGCAGCACAGAAGGGAGGGTGGTGCATCCCCACCCTCACTTCGGCGCTGCAGCAGCCTGAGGGTGTCTGTGCTTGGGCATTCAGCCCCCCCGCTACCCCCCACCCCGGCTCCTGCTGGGGCTCAGGGTGCCCATTTTTCCGGGGGCCTCCAAACTGGCCGGGGTCCTTGGACACTGGTCGGGACTAGCAGCTCGGGGCCCCCAGCTGGGGCACTTCCAGCAGGGCAGGGGAGATTGGCGTCACCTCCACCTCCGGGAACCTCCTCCTGCAGGAAGCTCCAGGGCTGCTGCATTCAGAGCTGGGCTCAGCGCAGAAGTGAGGGTGGCAATCCTGTGACACCGTCCCCCCCCCGCCTTGTGACCCCACCCCGCCATGATCCCCTTTTCAGTCGGGACCCCCAAAGTTACAACACCCTGAAATTTCAGGAGGTAAACATCCGAAATCATGAAATTGACCAATTTTAAAACCCTCTGGCTGTGAAATTCACCAAAATGTTCCATGAATTTGGTAGGGCCCTACTTATGATATTTGGTGTCTTTTCTTAAAGCGCCCGCTCCTGGAGTCATGGGATTAGGAGAGAATCTCAGCTGTTGCTGCTTTTTGTTTTTTTAAGCAAGTTTCTAGCTCTCACAATTGCAAACAGAAGCTTGAAAATGTGAATCCCATTGGCTCCAAAACCAGAAGGTAAATAAAAAGAACCTCAAGTTTACTGGTTTTATTTTTTAAATCTCGTGATTTGCCGGGGGGAGGTGGGGGGGAGAAGGGCCTGACTCATGATTCTGAAGCCACCAATTCAGCACCAGCAAGGGAGGGGCTGGGAATCGAGGTTCTCAGCCCATTTGAAGCCTGGCGTCAATTAAACCTGCTCCATACGGTACTGGACTAACAGGGGTCCTTAGCCTCTTAACCGTTCGGGGCTTGGGGAACGGCTTATTATTATTGTATTATGGTAGCATCGAGAGGTGGCTGCTGAGATCATGCTAGGCACGGTACACAGACCTAGTGAGAGACAGCCCCTGCCCTGAAAAACTCAGAAACATAGAAAAGAGAAACAAAGGGATAACAACAAGCCCGGCAGTGATGAAGCTCCTCTCATGAATAGGTCTCAAAGTGCTTTAAAAGAGGAGGTCAGGATCATTAACCCCACTTTACCAGTGGGGAAACTGAGCCACGGAGCAGCCTTGCCCAAGGTCACACAAGGAGCCTATACCAGAGCCAGAACCCAGACCGCCTGAGGCAAACACCTCCGTCTTACCCACAGAGGACCATCCTCCTCCTCCAAGTACAGTCCCTCCACCGTAACGCACCCAGAAACAGCTTGACGACTCTGAGCCTTACCCATTGGTGAGGTCCGTCCCAGAAGCGAAGAGGGGGATTTCTGCAAAGGCGAAAACAAAAAGACGGTAGGAAGCCGTAGCCCAGAGGCCAATGAAGAGGTTCCCAGCACGATCCACGTCCTGTGGGCTACAGCTACACTAAACAAACCACTATGACACTGATCCAGCACCCTGCAGCTTCCTAGAGATACCGCAAGGCTCGGGGTCAGGACCGGAGAACACAGGAACGTAATAGCAGAGCGCCGGCTCCAGTTAACATTGAGTCTTGCTTTCTGTCTAACGGTCAACTACTCCAAGTGCGCTGACTGTCTTGCAACGTGCTGTGTCACCTTAGGGGGAGGGGTATGGCTAATGGTCCAGCTCCGGGGCCCTTTGAGTAAGGGGGTCTTGAGATACAGCCCCCTAGAACTAGCAATTTACAAAATTGCCCGGCTCTGATAACTTCTGTTGTGCACCCTGAGGGCAGGAATGAGCGGTTTAAGTTTCACCTCTCTCCCCATGCTGGCAGGGCTGCAGGCCACACCGGGCAACCTCACCTCGGTGCTAAAGTTTTTGGGGGTTTCACTGATTTAGGAGGGAAGCAACAGCTCAGCAGATGGCTCAGTACAGAGATTCAGAGCCGGGCTGGCCCGAGGGCGAAAGCCAGGGGATGTCATCGCGCTGCAAAGTCGCGGAAATCTCCCCGCTGAAACCCAAGGCTGGGCCGGAGACGCACGGTGGGCTCAGGAAGGGGCGGCCCATAAGGCAGCGGTCACAAAGCCGAGGGCCTGGCGGTTTCCTTACAGACACAGGAAACAGTCAGCGTGCTGGAGAGAACACCGAGCATCAGCACCGCGGGACGGGACCCTCTCCGAGGGAAACGCTCTCCCTAGAGAGAAGTCGCTCCCCTCACAGGGGAGAGGGCACCAGCGAAAGGCTGATGTGCCCCTTACAGCCTGCTTGGGCCTGGCTTTGGGCTGGCTCTCTGCCCCCAGCAGAGTCTCCCACCTTAGCAAGGGGATCAGGTGGGAAGCTGACCCAGGTCGCTTTGATCCGGCTTCCTCCCAAGGGACAGGAGTCTGCCCTCTGCCCGGCAATGGCTATCACCGGGCGGGGCCTTCCCAATCTTATAGCTGCACTCAGTTGCTGGTGACAACATGGCCCAGTTCCTCTCCTCCCTGTCCGATGAGAGCATGGCGCGGGGGGGCAGGCATAGGCACCAACTCTGGGGGTGCTCAGCACCCCTGGGGCTGGCCGCCAACCAGCTCTTCAGCGGCTGCCCCGCCACTGACCCTTCTCTGCCCCCCAGTGTCCATAAGGCAGGGAGGGGCAGGAGGCGCTCAGGGGAGGGGTTCTCAGGGAAGGGGGCAGAGCTGAGGTGGAGGGGCCCAGTGAGAGGCACCCACCATCAAAACCAAAAAGTCAGCACCTATGGGCTGGGACAGGGAAGGGTTTGTCCGAGGACTGCAGAGGGAGAGACCCCCCCCCCCCCCGTTTCCCAACCCTCCCCGCCAAGAAGGGAGGCTAAGCCAGGAAGAAAATCCAACAGGTCAAGCGCCCTGGAGCGGGTCCGGGGATTTCCTCTGGTCTCAGCTCTCTCCTTGGTGGCCAGTAGCCGGCACTGCCTGATGGGGAACTTGGAGCATAGCGGGAGGAGGTTGTGGGTGGTGCTGCACAGCGGCAAGGGGGCGCCCCGAGCCTCTCGGGACGTGTTCCCCCCCCCCCGCCCACCAGCACTTGGGGTGGCCTCTCAGGCTGGGGTTGGAGGAGCCAGATGGAGGGGCAGAGGGGCCTTCCCTACTCACCATCCGCATCCGGGAAGCGGTCGATGCCACTCAGGGAAAGGCACTTGGAAAGGGTGCTGGAGGCGGGGTTCTGCCCGGTCCGATATGCCTGCAGCCTCCTGGCATCTTCCTGGGGACAAGCGCAGGGATCGGTGCCAAGCAGCGCAGGGATCCAGCTGCCCCCGCTGCGCCAGGTGAGGGTGGGTGGCTGGGGGCAACGGTTCAAAAACACAGCGGTGTGCCCACGGCTTCCCGCAGCACCCGCCCGGAGGGGGGCAAAGTCCCCGCCACGCCTCCTTGCCAGCAGAACGTGGGTCCACAAAGCCCTGGCCGGGACCCCCACCCACTGCTCCAAGGAGAGCTGGTTGGGTTGCTGCGGTGAAGAATTTCGCCTCTCCAGACGCTCTTGCGTGGGCAGCTATGTAGATCGCTTCGGCCATCACTAAAGAGCAGCCACCTCTGGGGTGGAGCCCCACAGCAGCCACGAGAGAGCGAGAGGATTCAAGAAGCAGCCTGTACACCTCCACTGTCAGGGGCCCCTCTCACATTCTCGGTTGCCCAGCCCACACCATTCCCCATCACACACCATCCCCATGGCAGCTCACACCCGAAATGCACGGTGTGGATTTTTGCACTGAGGTGGTCTCATTCGGGGCAGAAATTAGTCACCCCTCTCCCCCCACCTTTAGCTCTTCGCTTGTCTTCCCCCCTCCCCTGTTCCTGTCCACTGGAGAGGAGGAAAGGGAATCCAGTGCCAGGAGACCAGCAAGCATCCTAGAGATCAGCAGTACTCCAGCCTGGGAACCTTTACCTGGCACTGGGCCTAAGGACCCCGGAGTACCATTCCCAGGTCTGCCGCTGGCCAATCCAGGACAAGTCACTGCCCTGCTCTGTGCCTCAGTTTCCCCTCCCACCAGTTTTCTGTTTAGGCTGTCAGCTCTTTGGAGCAGGGACGGTCTCTCACTAGTGTAGGTGAAGCACCTACTGCAGCAGGGGTCTGATCAAGGCCCCTACCAAAATGCAGCGAACAGTTGTCGGTAGAATTGGCCCAGGCTGGAATTTAGCCAGGGGTTAAACACCCCTGATGTTTGTTAAAGCACCAGGGGACCTGCATCTGGCCCCAGCGTGACCACACCTGGAATCCTGGGCCCCCTTCTGGTGCCCACAAGTCCAGCAGGAGGCTGGTGAAGGTGGAGGGAAGATGCAGAGGGTGAAAGGATCGGAGGACGCGTCCGAGAGGGGCGCGCACAAGCAGTGCCATCTGTTTAGCTTCACAAAGGGAAGGTGAAGGGGTGACTGGATCCCAGGCCGTAAGTCTCTACCCCGGGAATTAACAGGCTCTTCGGTCTAGTAGAGGAAGGGCGAGCATGAGCCAATGGCTGGAAGCTGAAGCCAGACAAATCCAGGCCGGAAACAAGGGGCAGATTTTTCACGGGGAAGGAAATTAACCATGGGAACAACTCCCCCGAGGTTGTAGTGGATTGACTTTTCAATCAAGACTGGACGTTTTTCTCTGAAATCTGCTCTAGTTCAAAGAGGAATTAACCCAGGGAAGTCCTATGTCCTGTGTCAGGTGAGACCAGGGTCGGGGGTAGGCTCCCTGTGAATGGAGGGTGGGGGGCAAATGGAGGGATAATGAGGAGAGCTACTGAGATGGGAGGTGCCCTGCGCTCCCCCAGCAGTCTCAATGGCTGGGACCCTGTGCACAAAAGCCCCCTCCCCTCTACCCTGTCCTGTCCCTCCCGGCCTGGGAGAGCCTGGAAGGAGGGACCAGGCTAAGCTGGGGCGTCCTACCTGCCACTCAGCATGATCCCACGCACCGCAGGGACCATTCCAGTCCCTCCTCGGCGTCCCACTCATCTCCTCTTTCCTCCCCCTGCCCCCCAGCACATGGAGTGGGGAAAGGGGCGGGGACAAATCCAAGTCACTCTAGCAAAGCGGAACACATTGGTGGGTGGCGACGTAGAGATGCCCCATGGCGGGCCTCCACCATGAATATTTCCATTGTGGGGGCACTAGGACCCCCCCGGCCATGGTTCCAGGGGGGCTGGAACAATTTGTACAGTGGGGGTGCTGAGAGCCCCCCCTCTGTTATCTGTTAGCCACCAAACTGTTATCCCTGTATATAATGAAATCCACTTCAAGCCAGGGATGCGGCCCCCCCCCAGCACCAGCACTCAGGCATGGTTCCCCCACCCCGAGTCAGATTAAGACAATCACAACATCCCATCTGGCTCTACGATCTAGGACCGGACGGACGAGCGGCCAGGCCGTCGCAACGTGTCTCGCACGAGGCTCTGTACTTCACTTTTACTCCACGGGCCTTCGCCGACGCTGCTGGCCGTTTCCCTTCCCCAAAAGAGAAAAATCGCTTCTCGAGGATAACGCCCCCGAACAGGAACTGTGCTGCCTTCCTCCTTCCACCGTGTGTTGACAAAGGGAGCCGCACAGCCAGGGTGAAAACTGATGGGAACTGGAGCAGAGAGCGCTGGGCAGGGATGGGAGGGGTTGCCTGGCTGGCTTAACCCATTGAGGAGTGTACTCTGAACTTCCCCTTACCCTCCCAGACTGCACTGCTGAGCCATCTCATTTTCCATTCACCTCCCTACCAGACCAGACTCGGTCCATCTCAGCGGGCATCCACCCTCCCTCCACAGCAGATTGGATTCCTGCCTGGTCTCCCCACACCTTGTATCAGACCGTTGGCCCATCTGAGTCAGTATCCCTGCCTCTCATGGCCCGTTTCGGGTGCTTCAGAGCAAGACAGCTGCCCCTGGGGATTCAACTGCGGCCAGGTGCATAGTGATGTGCAAGCGGAGGGATAATTCCTTCCTGATTCGTGTCAGGTGCGGGACAAGGCCCTGAAGCATGAGAGCTGGTTGCATGATTGCTGCAAACATGCAGGTGCAAGTAGGTGGGGGGGGTGCAGAGAAGGGCACTGATCCTGTGAGGTGCAGAGCACTCTCGCTGAAGCCAGTGGGAGCTGAGGACACTCAGCAGCTGGCAGGAGAAGCTCAGCCCCTTCCAGGATCTGGCCCTCCATCCCCTTCAGGCAAGTCCCCTGGTGCTCAAGGGAGGAAGAGGAGATGCATCCCCTACCTGAGCCCGCTCCAGGTCCTCCTCCTCATCCTGCAAGAGGAGGGACTCCAGCTCGTCATTGCTGCGGATGATGGGGGCCCGGCGGGGGTCCCTGCGGTGTTGGGAGAAGCTGTCCAACTGCCCCGCAGCGGAGTCGAGTTCCTCAGGAGCCAGGCCCTTCAAACTCACGCTGAAACAGACGAGGGAGAGCCAGGCTGAGAACTCTCAGGCTGGGGCCCAGAAACCTGCTAGCCGCCTCCCCACCCCCAAATCCAAACTAACACACACAGGAACTGCTTCACCCCCTCCACCACATCAGAGGGCACCTCGCATGCCCCCCGGCTCTGCGCTCAGCACCGGGAACCAGAACTCCCACGCTCCCATCCCGGTTCTGACAGCAACACCCCTCCAAGACCTGGGGACAGGTCCTGAGCTCGGAGCACTAAGCTGCGGTGCAGGTCACATTCCTGCTCTGTGCCTCAGTTTCCCCCCTTTTGCACAAGGGGAAAGATGACACTGTGCTGCCCCTGCAGGGGCGGCGAGGGTTAATCCGTCCCCCTGGAGGATTTAGTAGTAGATGTTTCACACCAGCATAGTGGGAGGTTTGACTCTTGTTGCTGGCTTCAAAATAAAAACCCATTCTTTTTCAGGGGTCACAACCAGCTGCATCTTAGGATCGTGCTGCTCTTTCCTGGCCTCTGGGGGGCAAGGCAGGAACACCCCTTGCCCATAAAAGGGTCCAACAACCCACCCTCTCCCCCATCTTTCAGCATGGGAAAGCTGAATCCTAATTCAAGTTTTGCAGACAGCACTGGATCCTTAAAGCAACCCAAGGGAGCAGAGGCCAGGACAGAGCCCAGGTCTCCAACACCCAGGTTGCTTACCCTTAACCACAGCCCCCCGACCCCCACCCACCCCTAGCTCAGAGACCAGTAGTGAAATTGACATAGAAATCATTCTCACAGACCACAACCTACTCACCACAGCCTGCTGAACATGGCCCCTGGATGAACCCCTCCCTCACCCCCGTCGCAATCTCCCCTTCCCCCTACTCCCCAAATGCCGATGCGTCTCTAGAATCGGTCTCTGGATCTCAGAGCCTGACTTCCTGCTCCGGGCTCCACGCTGTTTGCAGAAGTGGGGTGGTGGTTTGGGGTTGGTTATTTTTCAAAGCTGCCTCTTTACAGCAGACGAAAAAGCCAATCATCAGCCTGAGCCGGCCACTCTCAGAATGAGAAAAACCCAATGCTCCCCTCGGAGCAAAACGGTCTTCACTTCAACCGGACTCACCAAGGGGCCGGGGGGTGGGCGTCGTGGCAGGGTGAGATCAGAGGGGCCGGCTCCCCCATCACGCAAGCAGGGGGCACGGCTTCTGCTACAGACACCGGGGCTTGGATCTTGCCATGCATGGCTTTATTGGGGAGCTGAAATACTGTGGAACAAGGGACCCGGTTCTCAGCAAAGAAGGCCTCTGTCTTTGCCACGGGCAGGTGACCCACTGAGCACGCAATTACCTCAAGCTACCAGCAGGGGGAGCCATCTGCCTACTTGGAGACAGGACCAGAACACAGGACCTGAGGGGACCACTGGGTCCAGCCCGGGCTGTCTCAGGAAGCCCCTCCAACCATCCCCTTCAGAAACCGATGAAGCACCTCCTAAAGCTAGTTAGGTTGTTGCCCCTAGCTACTGGGAGGCCGTCCCAGACCCTCCGTCCTCGGATGGTGGGAAAACCTTATAATTCCCAGGTGAAGTTTACTCATAGCCACTTTGTCCCCCTTTGATCTCACGCCAACATTTGTCCTTTAGCTCATCCCCCCTCCGTGGGGTTCACCCCAATGTCTTCACAGAGAGTCACCAGATCCCCTCCATCTCAGCCCTGGTTGTGCCACGCTGAACAAGCCAGAGACTTTCCTCCTGTGGGGTCAGCTCCCCGGACCCCTCGTGATCCCTTCTCGGCACTTGTCACCATCTGAATTCATCTCTCTTGAATTCGGCTGACCAGACTTGTACACAGGATGCCCGACAATGTCTTACCAGCAGCTTGGCGTTAATACTTCCCTCTCTCTACTAGACACGCCTCGCGTGGACATCCTAGGACGACATTTGCCCTTTTTCGAGGGAAAGGCCTGAACTGGATCCCGACCTGTTCAAATTCTAAACCCTGAATCCCTGGAGCACTTCAGTCTCCCATCCAACCCCTGGCCCAGCCTGGCTCTGCTTAGCTGGCAAAAGCCAACAAGCTCCCAAGATAAAGCAGCAGGTCGGCTTATCAGCCCCGTAGGGCAGAGCCCAGCGTGTGGGCTCAAGCCGGGCCAGCTGCCAAAGTGACGCTTTGTTGGCCGTTGCCATCAATCCCAGGGCCCATTCGCTGGGCCGAGCTGCCGAGGGGAGATAAAAAGAAATCAAAGCCGCTGAACAAAGGCAGACACGATCAGAAACAACAGAGCTTCAGCCCCCCCCCGGATCAGAGCCCACATCCCCAACCCCATCTGAGACCAGTCCATGGGAGCCAGTCCACAGGGAAGCCAACGCAATAGAGCTGCATGCACCAAGTAGAAAGGGGCCGATGGTTAGTGGACAGAGGCTAGCACAGGAAGTGTGGGGGCGGCCACAGCAGGACAGAGCCATGGTCTATTATTATTATTTGGATTGGCGTCCTAGCCACAGACCAGGGCCCCACTGTGCAAGGTGCTTCACAGACACAGAACACGAATACCTAGCTCTGATACAAAGTTTTCCATCAGTAGATCTCAAAGCACTTTAAAAAGGAGGCCAGCATCATTTCACAGCTGGGGAAACTGAGGCATGGAGAGGGGCTATGGTTTGCCCTGCAGCAGAGGGATGGGGAGCCCTCTGAGATTTTTATTCCAGGCGGCATCACTGAGTGTGAGCCACGTGGTTTAAGCCTTTCAATGGTCTTGCCAAGCTTTGTGCAGTCCTGTGGCAAGCAATTCCACAGGTTAACAGTAGTAAGTAGTGTTGCTCAGCAGATAGGCCCAGCAAGCCGCAGCAGCCAGTTCCATGGGTTAACATCACACTGCCTGCCCCAAAAATACCCTTCAGAAACAAGATCCACAAGCCACACCCTTGCCCACATAACATTCTGCAATCGGTGTTAACACCCCATCTCTTCCAGTAATACACCCCAGCAGCTAGACACACCCCACCCACCACCCTGCAGCAGCCAGTTCCAGGGGTTAATGCCCCACCCCCCATCACCATTAATGTCAAGCGGCAAGCACATTTTTTAGGTTCTGAGTCTGGTGCCAAGATGGCAGGAGTGGGGTGGGGGATCCAGGCTTCCAGGCCGTGGAAGGGAGAGAGGGTGCCATAAGCCAGGCTGGGTACCTCATTTGGTCGTAGTCTGGGGCGCTCTGCAGCTTCTTGCCCGGCTCCCAGCTGTGGCGCCGGTAGGAGTCCCGTTCACGGAAGGAGGCCCTCAGCGCGCACGACCTCCGCAGCAGCACGCCCAGGAAACGGTCTTCGTCTTCCTCCTCCTCCACCTCCCAATCCGCCGCCGGGTCGCCGTCGGGGCAGGAGCCCTGCTCCACGGCCGACATGCAGCGGCGTTTCTGGCCCTGGGCCCTGCAGGGGGCGCCGTCGCAGGCTCCCGGGGATTGCTCGGGGCAGTTCATCCTCAAGTCACGGGGACGGACGGACGCTGGAGGGGGGACAGACAGGGCAGAGGGGTCAGGCCCAGGCTGAGTCAAGCAGCACAGTCACAGAGAGCAGGCTGGGGGTGGGTAGGGAGGAGTAGGGGGTTCCTAAGGGTGACTTGGGGTCACTCCCATCGGATGGCCGCCCGATGGGGCCTGTCAGCTCCAGCCTGACCACTAGGCAACCCCAGCGAGCTCAGCCAGTCCCAGAGACCCCCCCACACACACACACAGTTTCTCCTCCAGCCCCAGCCTCCCCACTCCCGTCTGGTTCCTGACCACCTGGCTATGACTCCGGCTCACCCCTTGACCCCTCAACCCTGACTCCAGCTTCACCCTGAGACCGGTGCCTGCTCCCTGCCCCTATGCTTGTCATTACCCAGCAGTCTCCAGCTCCTACAGGAAACAAGTTGGTGGGTTCTCAGCTCTGCCAACATCCACAACCCCAAAGCCATCGCCATCACCGACCAGCCCCCTCGCTGCCAGAGGACTGGACAGGCCCCCAGAGACCAAGCTGCCCTCCTGCCCCTACTCAGGGCAGATCCTGGGGATAACAGTGACCAGATTATCAATGGCCAGGACCCTGGGGCACTCCTCACCCAGCAGGGGCCCGTCATCCCCTCCCCACTAAACTTGTGCCAGAGCTGGCCTAGTCCCACCCCTGCCAGCCCGGGGGGTACTGATGCCAGAGCCGCCGTCCGGGGCTCAGTGGTTTTGGTGGCACGGCTGATGGACACTGCTGTGCCCGCTTGACTTGGGTGTAGGGGGAGGAGGAGGAGCACGGGGAGCTACTGAGCATGAAAGGAGGACAGCTCAGTTGCCCGTTTTAAGGCTCCATATTTCCAGGCTAGAGCACGGGAAAAACCGGAACATGCTGGGACAGAACCAGGCTCGCTGGTCCCGTCAGATCAGGGTGAGGGTACATCCACAGTGGGCAGCCTCTTGTGTGTCTTGCTATTGCCCGTGTAGCTGAGGACAAAGTTTGGGGGGGAAGTTCCCAGCCTGCTCCATTCCCTCCCCGCCAGCAACGCCAGCCACACTGGGTCCGGGAACTCCCCCCTTTGCTGGTGTGTGTTGCTTCCCCTCTCTCCCACCCCTAGTTCCATCTGCCTGTTCGACCTGATAGGAGCCCCGTGGGCTAACTCACGGGTGAGAGTCAGCCAGTACGGCGCTGCGGCTCTACGCAGGATTGGAGCCACTTACAACCCAGCTGTCAAGCCTTATCCTGCCATACTTGGGCGTGCTGATGGAAAACGGAGGTTCCTGTAAGCTGGTTGCTACAGCTGATCCTGTGCCCCCTGACCAAACCATCCCCTCCGCCCCACACACACACACTCTTTTTATGAGCTCTTCCATGGAAGCAGCCACCTTTCAAGTGGACATTAAAGCTTATTACAGTCGTAAAGAGGAACTGCCCTTGTTGGCCATTTCCTCATGCTCCCTTCAACAGACCCATTCAGCAAGCATGTCGTAAACCACACCAGAGCCTCCCCCAAGGGGCTGACCTACAGCTCAGGGGGGAATGCCGGCAGGAGACGAATCGGCCAAGAATCTGGGGCTCCAGCATCCCTGCCCCCAGTGGCTCTTGACTGGGTCTCCCAAAACACAGCAGCTGGGCACTGTGGGGTGAAGAGACCTTGATTCCCAGCGACTCCTTGCCAGGCGCTCAGGGAAAGTAGGACTCCGCCCATCCCCAAATGGCAAAGCAATTAGCCAAGCTCCTGTCCGTCGTACTCACCCCCCATCACTGCAGTAGCCGAGTACCTCACCATCTGTTATGTGTTTATCCTCACAACCCTCCTGGGACGCATGGCATTGTTGTTATCCCCATTGCACAGCTGGGGAAACTGAGGCTCCATGAGGCTAAGTGAGCTACTCACAGTCACATGGGGAGCTGCAGCAAAGCAGAATTTGAACCACTAGCCCAGCCCCCCCTCTCCAAAGGGCTCACAGCAGAGCTGGGAATTCCTCTGGGATACTATCCAGTTGACACACACTCCTCCCTGCCTCTACCTCGTGCAATCTCTCCATCCCATCTCTCTCCTTCCCAAGAGACAGGCTTTAATGGGTCTGTAGCCACACTGGGCATTTCCTGCCTGAGACTTCGCCACTTGGCACTTCACGGACATGGCAGGGACAAAACTCAGCTCCTCTTGAGCTGACAGCGCCGGGCCTGCTGCTTCCTGAGCTAAAGGAGAACTGGTGGGTCAGCAGTATAGGGCTTAGGACACACAGAGCTGAGCAGGTCCCATTCCAGGCATGAATGTGATGGCAACTCACCCCCCTTAGCCGCTCATTGCAATGCCTCCTCCAGCCAGGGAGTTTGAATGGAGGGCCTGAGCCGAAGCCCCCTGAAGTCACTGGGAGTCTTTCCATTGGCTTCAACTTTGGATCAGGCCCTTCAAGGCACGGACCAGCTCAAGGGGCTGAATTACTCTGGCTTCCTCTGGACAGCTCACTCCCTCTTAGGCAGATGGGGGCGCTCCAGGCGGATACTGGCAGCAGCATGGCTAAACGGGCAGCTGCCTCTACAGCCAACCTGAGCAGCAGCCAGGGCTGTAAGAGGCGGGTAGGTCACCTATCGATCACTCCTCCTAAAGATCCCTCTTTCAGGCCCATTCGCTACAGCGCAGTGGAGCACACATGAGAGCGCACGCCCCTAGATGGGGAGCACGCACCCCTTCCAGCCCTAGCGTGGCTTGGGGCAGACACTGGAAACGGGGGTGCCTTTTGCCAAGGAGCTGGGAGGATGGCACAAGACGGGCCCAAGAGCAGGTGGAGTTACCGGCCCTGGATATTCCAGCGCGCTAAGAGGAAAGCAGAAAAAAATCTCCCCAAGCCAAGGGCCCCCCTCTCATCTCGCCACCTGAGTTACTCATTAAACGGCAAAGAATTCTGAAGGAAAAGAGGAGCCGGACCCACCCCCTCTCTGCCCCTAGACACACACACCACGCATGGTGCCTGGGTCGCAGGTTAAATGGACAAGTTTTGTGCGTGCGTGGGCCTGCCCCTCCTTGCAAAGACCACGCCGCTCAGGGGTCTCTAATAAGTTCCCGAGACAAGAGGGTACATTCATAGAATCATAGAATATATCAGGGTTGGAAGGGACCTCAGGAGGTCATCTAGTCCAACCCCCTGCTCAAAGCAGGACCAATCCCCAGTTTTTGCCCCAGATCCCTAAATGGCCCCCTCAAGGATTGAACTCACAACCCTGGGTTTAGCAGGCCATTGCTCAAACCACTGAGCTATCCCTCCTCGTGTCCATTCCTGGAGTCCAGCCTCTGTCTCTTTCTATCCATCTGTTGTCTCGTGTCTCATACCTAGGCTGCGAGCTCCTTGGGGCAGGGACCATCCTTCTGTTCTGTGTTTCTGCAGCATCCAGCCCCGTGGCGTCCTGGTCCAGGACTAGAGCTCCTAGGTGCTCCTGCAATACCAACAGCAACAACTCGGACCTTTGCTATCCTACCCGCTGAACCATTTTCTTTGGGGGGACCTGACGACAGGGGGCACAGTCTGGGAGCCTTCCCATCGTGCAGCATAAGCACCATCAGCATTTATTGCTCCTTCTTCCCACACCACTGTCCTGTGGCGACAGCAGCATCGCCCTTCTGAGAAGTGGGAGGAGGTGTCTTATGCAACCCCAGGACAGAGGGGGTCCAGCAGCCTGCCAGGAAATTCCTTCTCCCAGGAATCTCAGCCCACCCTCAATGCCCGGTTCCCATCAAAGCCCAAGGCAGGGCGGGTCCAGGCGGGTGGAAGGCAGCACACTTCTAGCCCATGTTTAAAGAAAAACCAATACAGTGGAGCTGTAGGAAGACCTTTATGGAGACGGCAGAGAGGTCAGCATTGCAAACAGCGCGGGCTTGTGTTTGTCCTGAGCAGCCTGGCTTGCCCAGCTTGCACTGCTGAGCTCTCCGTGTCACACCAAACGAGGCCCCTCCTGAAACGTGACCCTCTTTCTCCAGTCTCATTCAGCACACTGTGGCAGGGGGGTTCCCAAGGAAGCAAAGGCGCCTAAACCCAATGAAACTGAGGCTCCTAAATCCCTTAGGCTCCTTTGCAAACCCCAGCTGAAGGACCTGAACCAAAAATCACACAGGAAGTCTGTGGCAGAAGCAAGAATAGAACTCACGTGTCCCCACGCCTAGGCCTGTGCTTTAACCACCAAACCATCCGCCTCGTCCTGCTGGTCTCTGTCCCTCCCCTGGTGCATTTCCCGTGTAAACATGCTACGGCATCCAAGGCAGCTCACTGCTGGACTGAGATCCAGATCTGATGAGCAATCACAGCACCTGTTACAGCTTGCCTGGCATTTCTGACACCGACAGAAAACAGGAGGGGAATCACACTGGGCAGGGAGCGTAGTTGATACCTAATGGCAAAGAGGGGAATTCAGCATTTGGAAAGCAACCTAGAGCTGCCATTTAGCAATCAATCATTAGGGCTGAAGTTACATTGAAGGGCAGTGTGGTTCAGTGGTTAGAGCTAGCCACGCCTGCACTTTCATCCTAGTTTTTGACACCAACTCACTGTGTGGCCTGGATCAAGTCATTGTGCCTCAGTTTCCCCTGCTGTAAAATAGGGGTTAATACTTCCCAGAGGAAGGAGGGTGCAGTGGTTAGGGCGCTAGCCTGAGACTTGAGACACCCAAGTTCAATTCACTGCTCTGCCACAGACTCGCTGCGTGACCTCAGGTGAGTCATCACTTCTCGGGGCCTCAGTTTCCTCATTTTACAATCGTGCAAAGTGAGAGAGTAAACTGGATATAGCCAACAAAAGGTCTTTGCGGTAATGAAATTCACATCGTTTCTAGAGGAAATCCACCAGTCCAGGAGCACCATCCACTTAAGCTTAGTTCCAAATTCCAACAACCCAAAAGCATTTCACAAAACCTCAAACCGATTAGATTGTATCCACCCCAGAAGCCGTTTGATCGCTCCCCCACCATTGTCTGCAACCCAAACACTCTTGCACAGACAGCACCGAAAGTGAAACTGACCATAAA